AGCAGGCTTGCTGCGCTGTGTCGCTGTTCCGCCTCTCTCTCTCGTTCCTCTTTTACCGTTGTGAGCGCAGCCGTCGCTACCTTTTTGCTTGCGCACGTGACCGCAGACTCTGCACGGCCGCACGAGATTTCTCAGTGGCTCGAGCGTCTTTGCTGGGCACTCCCGGTCGGTTGGGTTTCCCCCTCCGCGCTCCATTCTCGACGCACTTCCCCATTCCCGAGACAGGTGCAAGTAGTACGTTTCCTCTGCGCATCTTATCTCGACTGCGATGTCACATCGCCGGCGGAGGCAAGCAGTATTTGCGTGCGCTTGTTCAAAAATGGAACACGAAGCTTAATTCGAAAAGCGTGGACGAATGATTCCCGTCGGCCCAACCAGGGGCACTCGCCAGAAAATTATCATGCCTAGCCGCGTCGGTTGTACACGGTCGTCGCCGCAGCTTTCAGGCAGGTGGTTTTAGAGACACATGTTGTAGCGTGTCTCCATGAATATCAGTTTGCGTGTTGGATAGGAGCTTCTGACACCCAGTCAAAATTATTTTGCTTCGAGCGATCCTCACCGAAACCTTCGGCGCTTGATCCCGAAGGTGCGCGCGCTCATCGGAACGATGTGCACGGGACGCGGTGGTCTCGGCCAGTGCGGCGGTCGGGCCATGTTCTGTCATGGTGCGTCATCTTATGTTCTCTTATCGTGTGTTGTGAGGTGTGGTGTCATGCTGTGTTCTGCATGGCCAATTCTATGTGTTAGCTTCTGGCGTCATGCTATGCTGTGCGCTGCTACGCAATAGCATACTATGCCGCGCTATGGCATGACATGTTTTGTTCATGATATGGAATGATAGTTGTGATCATGTGTAGTGGTGTGGTTTGTTCTGCCACGGCATAGTGTGTGATGATACTGTATGCACGGTTAGGTTATGTTACGTCGTGTCATGTTATGTATGTTCTGATGTGCCATGTCATGCGTTGGTTTGTTGTGTTGTGATATGGCATGATATGTCATGTGATGTGATGATGTGGCATGGTATGGGTTGGTTTATTCAGCGTTGCGTTAAGTTGTTATGATATGTTTGTGTCATCGTATGGAATGGGAGGTGCCGTGATGCTGTGCTATGGTATGCATTGTTCTGGCATGGCGTGCTATGTTACTAAATGTTATATCATGATATGGTATGTTATGCTTCGGTGGCGTGGCGTTATGCTCTGTTCTGTGGGGGGCCTGGGGATCTGGCGGCCGCGGTACGCAGAGTGGGCGAGTCGGCGCGGGGGGCTGGACCCTCAGGGATTATCGGGGGACTTGAGGATCTGGCGGCCGCAGTATGCAGAGTGGGCGAGTCGGCGCGGGGGGTTGGACCACCAGGGAATATCGGGGGAGCCTGGGGATCTGACGGCCTCGGTATGCAGGGCGGGAGGGCGGGACCAGGGATTGTCAGGAGCCCGGAGATCTGGCGGCCACGGTATGCAGGACGGGGGGGGGGGCTGGACCACCAGGGATTATCGGGAGTTTGGGGACCTGGCTGCCGCGGTATGAAGGGCGGGCGGGCCAGGAGGTCTGTTCTCAAAATCTAGCGACCCCAACCTGTCGGGTGGGGAACAGGCAATGCAAGTTTTCAGAAGGGGGAGGGGGGCCCGAAGACGCTGATCAACCCTGGTCATCGTGGCCTATGTTTCCCTTTCCCTGGTCTCTTTCCCCCAGAGACGCCCACTAGCAGAACACCCTCGAGTCGCTCAGCACCCGCTTTCTCCTCTTGTTCTCCCCACCATCTCTTCTTCCCCACCTTCACCTCCAGCCCCTACCTCCTCATCGTCGCTCGTCATCGTCCTTCCCCATTCTCGCCTCCTCCGCCTCTACTGCTCCTCTGCTACTCTCATCCTCCTCCTCCGCCTCCTCCTCCTTCTTCTTATCGTCCTCCTCCTCATCCTCCTCCTCCTCCTCCTCCTCCTCTGCTACCCTCATCTCTCCTTCGACTACGTCCTGGAACCTGGAAGTGCCCCGCCCTCACCGCGCATTGCATGTTACACCGGATGTCATGAGTTGGCGTCCCTATGTTTTTTTGTCTCCTTTTCTGTATTGCAAGAGTGTACCTCCGCTGCAGCATGGGCCTCATTTCTAGGATCGGCGCCTTGCTCCGGCCGTTCAGCATGGCGCTCTCGCCCCAGCGCGGGCCACTTGTTCCTGCATCCGAGTCCTTCCTCGTCGTTGTCGCCCCGCTCCTTTCCCCTCCCCCGCCTTTCCCTGGCCATTCTCTGTTGATCGTCCTCCCGCGTCATGTTCCTCTTCCTCTCGGTCATCCTCCTCCGTAGCCATTTTGGCTCAAGATGCCTTGTCCCCCAGGGGGCCAAACGGATACCGCTAGTCCGCGGCTGCTTTCACATTCTCCGCCTGGTTCTCCCCAGGTGCGGAGCCCTGCTACAGTCAGCAGGGCCGTCAGCGCATGGGCCGTAACGTGGGCGACAATGGCGCGTGCGGCAAGGGCAAAGACAGACAAGTCGGGCACCTTCGTCAGCTGCTCGGCTTGCCGCTATCGGTGGAACTTCAAGTCCAACCACTGGTGCTACCAGTGCTGCTCGCCGATGGTTCCGCACCCCTCGCCCGACAAGATGCCCGCTGGCCAGTGGTCGTTCGGCCCGCCCACGCTCGCGTCGAACCCGTTCGACACCGCCTCGGGTGCGGCGCCGCCTGGGGGGGGGCCATTCCAAGGGCCCTCCGGTTCCGCCGAGGGCCGCCAAGGGCGCACCCAAGGAGCGCCGGCCGCGGGTCTGGCATGGACCAGGCTGGTACCCCTACGGTGGCGGACCGCCGCCCGAGGAGCCGCGCGAGCCCCCGAGGCCCTCGGACCCCCTGCGCTGCTCCGCGAGAAGTTCGGCGACTGCGACGAGCTGGAGGCCCTGTCCGCCAAGCTGGCCGCCACGGAGCAGCCTGCCGCCGAGGCCCCTCGCCGCCCCCCCCCTTTGAAGAGGAGGAGGTCTCCGCGAAGGGGATTGCGTGCAGGCGGGCGCAGGCGCGGCTTGAGACCTGCGCGCGGCGCGTCGTCGAGGGAGAGGCCTGGCTGGCCGACGCCAAGGCTGCTGAGGACGCGGCGGCAGAGGCGGCACACCAGGCCCAACGCGACTGGGAGGAGGCTTGCGCCAAGCAGCTCCCGACGCCATCGACGCCGCGGTCGGAGACGGCATCCGCTGCTACGGCTATCAACCTTTCGACGCTCGTCGACGAGGGCTCGCTGCGCTTCGTCGACGGCCCCCTCTTCGACCTGGAGGGCCTCGAGATCGACGAGACGGAGCGCTCCGACTGGGCTCGCATCAAGGGTGAGCTCGCCACCAGCGCGCAGGCCAAAGTCCAGGAGGCCTTGGGCCCCGCCGCTCAGCAGATCCTCAAGCTGCGGGAGGAGGCCCAAGCTCTCCACGCCAGGCTCCAGGCCAAGAGGCGCCGCGGCCAGGATGGCGGCCACGCCACGGGCCCTACGGACCCTGCGGCTACTGCTGCTGGGGCCTCTTCTGCTGGCGGCAGTGCGGCTGGATCGCCCCGTGGTGGAGGTGAGCGCAGCAGCGCCGAGGCCCTTCGAGCCGCTGCCAGAGCCAAGGCCAGTGCAGCTCTTGACGAGAAGAAGCGTGACACGCAAGATGTTTAGCACCTGCGATTGCACGGCTGCGGTCACATATGACGGCTCGCCTTTCCCGTTCTACGGGGACATCTTCCTCTCGAAGGATGACGAGCTCGCCTTCTTCCCCGACCTGGAGGTTTCGGCCGCTACAAGTTCCGCTACTCTCAGAGCGATGACGACTCTGAGTTCGAGGACAGGGTGACCCATTGCAAGGATCAGAACCCTGCCAGGCGCGCGGCCCTTCATAATCGTCTGCTACTTGAGAGGCAGTTGAGGTCGCTTACTGGTGCTTGGGTACCTGACCTCAGCACTGTGGATGAAGAATCGGATCTCGCCGACTGGAAGAGGATGTGCATCCCATACGTCGCCAGTTTCCTGGCATATCCAGCACTACAGCCCCTCGTCCAGGAGGTGGCTGACACAGCAGGGCATGGAAACCCTGCGGTTGCTCAGCTGGACATGGCCAGGCAGATTTGCAAGAGAGCGCGGCATGCCCGACGTCGCCAGCGACAGGCGCACCGCGACTATCTCAACGGCCTCCGTGACATCGACTACGACGATTGGCAGGAGGAGTTGGCTCGCAACGCCCTGAGTCATATCGATGCACGCCGCGCGCTTGACACCAGGGCCCCGCAGCGACGGGGGACCCCGCCTGAGGCTCCAACTGTGGTTTTGCCGTTTTGTGGGAGACCGTACCTCTCCGCACCGTCTCAGACGTATGCGCCAGATTTCACACATTCCAGTTCAGGCGTTGCGGGTGCCCCCGCCTCGCCACCCCTGGCCCCGAGGACTTCTACGTGTGCTCCGGTTTCGGCGACGGCATCAACCTCGAGGAGCACTCCGACTTCGGCTCCTCCAGCGGCCTCGGTTTCTGGCACACAGAGCATTGCTACTAGTATTGCTACTGGAGGCCCGTGCATGGAGGCAACAGAGGAGGGCGGTGCCAATCCTCATTCAGCTCGGTTGTTGTTCGCCAATGTCAGTGAGTGGGGGCCCAAGGCTCAGTCATTTATGCGAGGAGCTGGCACCATGTTTGAGACTGTTGCCTTCGCCGAGACCCATGTCAAGGTCAGTGGCATGGAGGCAGCCCGTGCGGAGCTAATCAGGGACGGTTGGAAGATGGTTGGCACCCCTGCATGAGCATCAGCATCCTCTTCTTCGGGCTCCAGGGGTGGTGAGTGGGTTGTGCACAAAAGGCACATTGCTGCCACTTCCTGGGAGCGTCTCCGCGCTGCCAAGCCGAGGGCCATTGAGGGGTTTTGCCCCGGCACCCTGCATCTCAAGCGTGGCAACGTTGTGCTGTTGTCGGCCTACCTATTCCCAGGGCCCAAAACAGGTGGCATCAATACTCCCCGTGTTCGTGCTATCAGCAGGTTTGTTGGCTCCTTGGCTGACCCGTGGATCACGCGTGCGGACTGGAATTTGGAGCCAGACGAACTGACCAAGAGCGGCCTGCTTGAAGTGTGGGACGGGGAGATTGTCACCCCGAGTGGATGCAGCGCGAGTTGTGTTTTTGGCAGTGGTTCTCTGATCGACTACTTGGTGGTCAAGAGGGGTTTCGCAGACCAACTCAGAGTCAAGCCATTCACACTCGTTCCATGGAAGACACATGTAGCCCTGGACATTGAGATTCTTTCACGGCACGCTGATTGGCGGCATCAGGCGTTGGATTCTCCCAGTGAGCCCCCACAAAGGCCCAGGCCCAAGAGGGCTTCAGACCCTGACAGCAAGCGCTCGAGGCGTCGTGAGGAAGCTCGTGTTCGTAGAGGAACGACTCAGCGCCGACCTGCAGGGTGCCTTCGACGAAGCCACCCCCCCTGATGATGAGGAGCCTGATGACGTTGCTTCGCAGGTACCCTTTCGTGTTAATTCGGACGACTGGGCCGCCGCTGCTATTGAGGCTCAGCCGTGGGTAAGTACCTGCTCGGACTCGAAGGCTTGGGCTTTCCCTACGGGCTCGGCAGATGACGTACAGTCCATTTCCCAGTCGTATCAACGCTGGGCATCTACCTTGGAACTGGCCATATTACGCACTGAAGGCACCCCATCCGACCAGCAGGCCCAGTACATTGGACGCGGCAAATTGTATGGCCTTACTCGACGCAAGCTACAGCCGTCCCCTGGGCGCACTCATATGCGTAACCCTACCATGGAGTTTTGGTGGACGATGTCGTCGCTGGTCACACGTTATACCTCCCTACGCCGACACGATCGGGACCCCGTACAGCAGGAGGCTTTGACCACTTCCATCTCCGGCCTGATTGGCCAGGCCGAGGTCCAGCCGAGGGCCGTTCTATGCGGGCCCAGGGCCACCCACCAGGAGGTACAGGAGTGGTTTGATGTGGCCTGCCTCATCTTCGGGCCACCGCTGGACGTCGAGACCCTTGAGCGGTTTGGTGAGGTCACGGAGACTTGGTGCTCGCGCTCCTGGGGTAGGGCGTGTCCTCGGGCGCCGCCTATGTCAAGTGGGCCAGGGACTGCTGGCGCACCAGACCATCAGTGGTCCATCGCCACGTCCGTGACCATCCAGAGCCTGCTGCGCTCGAAGTTCCCTGCGATGGCCCCGAGGAGGCCACGGGGGACCCTGACAAGATCATGGAGCACAAGTTGCAGGCGTGGCGGACCATCTGGACGGATCCACAGGCGTCGCGGGAGGACCTGTGCATGGGGCATGCAGGAGTTGCTCCAGCACGCGCGTCGCCACCCCACCAGCGAGCTGGAGGGCGATTCCATCATGAGAGTTGTCTCCAGGATGGCTCCCAACAAGGCTCGAGGCGTGGATGTACTCAGCCCCGTCGACATTCAGAGGCTGCCGACCGAGGGGCGGCGGCAGTTCGGCGACGTGCTGCGCGAAGCCGAGATGGTAGGCTCGTGGCCTGTCCAGCTTTTGCTTGCTGTAGGAGCGACCGTCCCGAAACCTTCAGGAGGTGACAGGGTTGTCGGTGTTCAGCCGACCTGCATGGGAGTCTGGTCCAGAGCTCGGGCCCCGATCACGGACCAGTGGCCCCAGGACCTCGGAGAGTTGGGACACGGCGATCCGAGGGCCCTCGGCTCTCAGAGCGGCCCTGCAGAGGGCCATCTTAGACGAGTCCTCCTTCCAGCTGGGTTGCACCTTGGCCCCCCTCCTCCTCGACCTCGAAAAATTGTATGACCACGTCAGCATGCTGTTACTAATGCGTGTTTCGGTCGAGCAGGGTTTCCCCTCGATTGTCACCCTTGTAGAGGTGCAGATGTTCCTTGCTCCCAGGATCCTTCGGTCCAGGAACATCGCGTCGGATTTAACTTTCCCCACCCGTTTTAGTGTACTGGGTCCGCTCACGGTGTCAGACTTGCTAAGGTTTTCTTGGGCCCGATTTTGTCGGCCGCTCATGCGTCCTCGGGGGCCCGTGCCCTGGTCTTTTCCGCGGGCCTCTGGACCTTTGTTGATGACACCGCGGCGCGGGCTGAGGGCACCGAGGAGAATGTCATCGCTCAGCTCTTCACCATTGGCCAGTCGTTCGCCCGATCGTTTGCCTTGCATCAACTGCCCGTTTCGCCCAAGACCAAGGTCATTGCATCCTCCACTAAGGTTGGCAAGCGCATTGTGGCCAGCCTGAGAGAGGTAGACATCCCAGCTTCCCTGGCGGTCCAAGCTGTTGACCTGGGCTGCGACACGGGAGGTGGGGCTCGGCGGGTGGTCGTTAAGCTTTTGGACCGTCAGAGGAAGGCCCGCCCACGCGCGCAGCGCATTCGACGCCTGCGTCGCCGCGCCAAGGCGGCCAAAGTGTCACAGGGGCTTTGGTTACAAGGGGCCCTTCCTCAGGCTGTATATGGCCATCAGGCCATGGGCCTCTCCCCTTCATCGATCCTAGCCTTGAGGCGCCAGGCTTCCCAATCTGTTGCCAGTGCAAGTCCGGGCCGTTGTCTTACCGCGGTGTTCTCTCTGCTTTATGCTGAACGAGAGCCCTTCATCGCCTTGAGGGCTCAGGTGTTGTTCACGTGGTTTGACATGTGGAATAGGTTCCCTGAGTTGCATGGCCGCATCTCTCGCGCGTGGCACCACGTCCGGGGCCGCCTCGACCTGATGGCCTCGAAACGCTGGCGTCGGGTGCGGGGTCCGATCGGGGCCGTCGTCGCCACGTTGCTCGACGTTGGTTGGAAGCCTGTGTCCCCTGTTGAGTGGCGCAGACCCGTGGGGGACCAAAATGAAGTTTGGCATTTCTCTGATCGAGATGACATTGAGCGCCTAGAAGGCGATGTTGATGTCGTTGAGTTGGTTGATGATGCCAGGGGCGGTTTAACTGCGCTCTTTGTGGGCCCAGGCAGCGGCCCACCCTCACGGCGATGATTCGGCCGAGGGGGCTGATCTCCAGCCTTTGCGCCAGGAGCTTAGGCGTCTCGAGCGTAGGGATCAGTATGAGCAGGTAGGCCTTCTCACGACTGTCGTGTCAGGAGGCCAGTGGGCCACGTCCGCCAACTTGAGGCGGGGTATGCCGCTGCCACTACCTGCCCCCGATGCGGCTCGGCCCCTTGAGACGCTTTTTCCACGGAGTATGGGAATGCCCCAAGAACTGCAATCATGAGGCTGTTGAGCTCTCTGACGGTTTATGCCACCAGGCCAGAGTGGGACGCGAGGCAAACCCCGCCACGTGGCTCTGCGGCCTGCCTCCTAGGTCTTTAACCTGCCCTGTGTTCAAGGGCGGGGGGGCGGGCGCGGCTTGGGAGGTGGGGTCGTCGCCGTCGTTCGTCGAGGGATCCTCTGTCGAGGCGGCCAGGTCCCCTGCAGGGCTCCTGCGGGTTTTGGGAGATGGCTCAGGAGGTGCCTTCAGCTCTGACCCGCGCCGCCGACGAGTCGGCGCGGCCGCTGTGCTGGCGGCCTGGGATGGCACCATGCGGTGCCGACTGAATGGCTGGGCTTCCACAATCTCAGGCCGCCGCCAGACGGCCCCCAGGGCAGAACTGTTGGCCTTCGAGCTGGCTCTCCGCAATGCCCCAGGGAATTTCGAGTATGTTACGGACAACCAGCCCCTGTTAGAGGGGTGGAGGCGCCGCCGTTTCCTTCGTTGCAGTGGCGCGAATTCGGACCTTTGGTTTCGTATCCGCCTGGCCCGCGATGGCCGCGAGAATGGGATTTCTGTTTTGTGGGCCCCCTCCCACCTGAATCCCACTGACCCCTCCTTGTCGGAGGACCAGGTTCTTCTCGCGGCGGGCAATGAGTGTGCTGAATAGGTTGGCGGGCCAGGCGGCGCAGGAGTCTTGGGACCTTGCTACTCGTTGTCAGCGTATCCCAGACACCGACCGGCGGGGCGCCACCTGTTTTTTGGTTCGCCAACGGGCCGCCCAAGCTCTGGCGGAATCCATTCGCGTGGCCCCATGGACCGCGGACAGGCCCAAGATGGGCCGCTCCACTGTCACCAAACGTCAGACTGCCCTCAGAGGTAGCTCGCACTGTCTAATTAAAACTGGGTCGAAGTGGATTTGCTCACTTTGCTCGACCATATTTTCCTCGGCGAATGTCTCTGAGGCGCGCGGCCAGCCCTGCCCCGCTGTGGATGACGGCGAGACGCTGCAGGAGTTTGGCCACGGAATTTCTCGGGTGAGGCGGGCGGTGACGGTGGGGGGAGGGGAGTCTGCATCCCAGTCACTGTCTGCATTCCTGGCCCGAACACTCGCTGTACTTTTGTGCTCGGTGTGGCCGCTCGGCCACTGTCGACCCGAGGCAACTACGGAATGCGCCCAGTGTTCTAAGAAAGGGCACGAGAATCTTCTTCGAATTCGCCGAGGGCTTTTCCCAGGCCACAAGGGCCCTTCGGCCCCCTTCTTGGAGGCCGCTGTCAGTCGGGTCCGACGCGTCGAAGGGCGTCGGTTGATCCCTGGCTCTCGCTCGTCCCGCCCGCCACGTAGATTGTGGCGATCATGACACTCATGACACTCTCGGTCATCTTCCTGCTTATCCGCCACCTCTTCCAATGTACGCAGGTCCCCTTTTCTGATTACGCATATCACGCTGGGATCCTTTTGGGGGCTCCAGGTCTGGTATGACACCCGTCGGCGAAAAGAAGCGCAATGGGAAGGAACGCGTGGCAGGGTAGGATAGCAGATATGGCGCGAACGCACACAGCTTGTTCTCAACCCCTCTCTTATCCTCCCTGTCCCGACGATGACAACGGCGACGAAGATTCAGAAGCGCACGCGACCCGAAAGCGCACAGGAGCTCTCGACAGACCGAAGACGACGACGGCGGTGGCGGCGACGCTTGCGTCGACGACGGAGGCGGCGGCGACGCCCGCGACGACGACGGCGGCGACGGCGGCAGCGACGGCGGCCACGACGACCACGACACAAGCAGCGCTTGAGGAGCCACCGCGGGGGCGCTGCAGCTCGAGGGGGAGCTCCACACTCAAGAGCACCAAGTCCTGACCTTCCGCAGCGGCAGCGCCTCGCGCATGCGCCGCGCGCCATGAGGCATTTGTTTTAGTGCCTGCCGCCGCCCTCGGACGCCGAGGACGACGCCGACATCGTCGGCGGCAGCGGCAGTGGCTGGCGGCGATGGCGGCGGCGGCGGCGATGGCAGCCACAACCACGTCGGCAGCGCTGACGACGTCCACGAGCACGGCCATCTCGGCCACGCACGACCGCGGCGGCGACGACGACGGCCGCGTTGGCCACGACGGCGACGAAAACGACGACGAGGACGACGGCGACGGCGACGGCGCCGTCGGCCGCGGCGACCGCACAGCGTCGACGACGGCGGCGGGCGGCGCGCTGGAGCTCTTCTGCCAGGCGGGGCGGCCTCCTCGCGGGCGGGGCGGCCGGCACCCCCGCCGTGTATGTCATATAGTCGTAGTCGCTGCCGTTGTTTTTTATGTTTTGCCTCCACGTCGGTCGGGGCTCAAGGGGCAGGGGTCAGAGCAAACGGTCCGACGAAGGCGTCTATGCACCACCACCGTGCCGAGCCAGGGCCATCTTTGGCCCTAGGATGGTTATTGATCCTCCTGGCCTCGGCCAGGACGGCGTATACACCATATGCCAGGGCCCATGATGGCCATGGCTTGGCACGGTGTTGCTGTATAGATGCCTTCTGCGTAAGCGGGGGTCAGCCATGGATCCAGATCTTGCAGGATCCTGGAGAGCCAGGATCCTGCGCAGCCCGGCTCACCCCAGTTTGTGTTGACCCGGGTCAGAGTGCGCCCCCGAGTCGGAAGGCAAAGAGGGCGGGCCATTCGGGAGTTTTCGTTGGTTCTGGGAGATTTCTCGCCTCGGGATGCTCTCCGGCAGCTGCAGCTCGTCGAGAGCTGTCCGAGGTCGAGAGCTGTCCAGGGTGCCCGGATGGATCGTTCCGAACGGCTTCCGGAGGGCCCCATAAGTGGAGAAGTCGGAACCTTGAGATCCAGGCGTTGCATTTTTTCGTAGCGGGCGATTTCACTTTGTCTCGGGCCTGGGGACCCTCGCGGATCGCTCGGGCTCGAAAAAATTGCGCAGACAGGGTTCCGCCGTCACGAGTCACGTCGGAGGCGACGCGAGGAGCGAATCGCCCAGCGGCGGGCATTGCAGGCATTCGCCGGAGAGCGTCGCCGAAGACATGGACCACCAGCGCCCCTGGATACATGCACCCATCGGTCGTTGAAAGTGGGTATTCTGGGACTCCCAGATTCCAATCAGGTGCCTTCCTGCTTCAAGGATCGAGTGGCTTTCGTTTTTCCTTCGTCTACAGGTGGCGGGCGAATACCCAATCTGCTCTCAACGCCTTCCTTTAAGTCCGTCCCGTCCCTCTACAGGAGGAAGTCTGGGGGCGATTGTTTGAGCACTTTCTGACTACTCGGGGGTATGTTTGTGAATTTTTTATTTTTCGTCCGATATCCGCCTGGGGGGGGGGACATGCCCGACCTAAGCCTTCCTGCTTCGTGCTGCCTGCTGCCGACCGGCGGGCACTGCTCCTCCGCCCGGGGCCCCGCGGCCCCGCCCTCGCCTCCGAGCGCGGGCTCCTGCGGCGCTGCCTCTGGTGTCGCGCCGTCGGATCGCAGGGTGACCCGGGCCAGGGCTGGCCCCAAGTGGGGCCTGTCCCTTCAGAAGTAGTCCAAAGGTGGTCTTGGGACTATTTGTCACAGTTGTTTCACTATTCTAAGCATTTCTGGGGGATTTGTTGTTTGTCATCCAAAATCCGCCTGTGGGGGGACATGCCCGACCTGACGCTGACCCTGGTCAGCCAGGGCCCCCCCGCGAGCTGGGCCGGCCGCAGATGAGCTCCCAAACCGGAGTCAGCGGCAGGCAGAGGTCGCGGGGGAGAGAGCACGCAGGCACAATGAGTCGTCGTCGACTCCCATGAGAAGATTGGAGAGAGATTAGGAGAAGTGAGGGGATGACGACACCCCCTGGGATGTAGGAAAATAGGGGGATCCTGGGATTTGCATGTATTTATGTTTGTGCCCCTGGGCCCCTTAGTGATTGGGGGGGAGCATCGGCTCCGCGTGGCTCCCAAGCCCGGGTCAGCCAGAGGGGATCGGCGGGAGATCTGCCATGGCGACCCGCCCTTCTTAGCCAAAATGGTGAGTGATCGAATCCAACCAGGTTGGCTAGCCTGGACCCCAAGCAGTGTGGCCCTAATCATATATGCTGCGCAGTCTTTGCGGAGCAATATCTGTTGTGCGCTATATGATATGTGGTGCAACTTATGTGGTGCAGTCGATGTTGTGCAGTTTAGGTTGTGCTATATATATATATATATATATATATATGTAGGTGCTGCAATCAATCACTTGCTCAACTTGAAGCTGTCCTCTCCGCTGCTCGTGCAAACATCCCACCCTCCCACCCGCACCTTGGGCACAAGACCTCTTAAGACCGTGACGGTAGGTACCACATGGCACTTGGCAACGACACCGACGCCGACGACGGCAGCGACAACGACGATGACGACGCCGCCGACAACGACTACGACGACACCGACGGCGTCTCCAACGACTTCGACAACGACAACGACGACGACGACACCGACGACGACACCGACGACGACGACGCCGACGTCGACGACGACGACGATGACAACGCCGAAGACGGCGACGCCAACGACGACGACGACGCCGACGAGGACGACGACGACGACGACGACGGCCACGCCGACGACGACGACGACGACGACGTCGCCAATGAAGACGATTATATACGAGTGCGCGCGCATCGTATTTTCTGCTGAGGATGACGGGGGGGGGTATCGGTTTGGATGGGATCGTATGAATTCACAGGTAGGATGGACATTGGGTTGGAGTCCCATGCGTGTTGCATCGGTTCCCTGGGGGTCCTTAACCCCGGGGGGGAGGGTGGTAGAGCCTATCTTGGTCTTAGATCGGAGGACCGACGCGGTGCAACCTATGTGATGCGCAATTTGTGCGGTGCGCATTTAGCGGTGCACTCGGCGTGGTGCAATCGAAGTGGCGCAAGCAATTTCTGTTCGCAGCGAGTTGTCAACTCCACTGCTCGCGCCACCCACCCACCCGCAACTTGGTTTGCAAAACCCAAGCGGCGGCGATTGCGATGAGTGCTTGATATTGGCTGGTGCGTCTCTGCGGCCGCGCAAGCCCGCGCATGCTCGCGCGCGCAGCTGCCAGCTTGTTTGGCGCGACCGACGAGGCCGCTGTGGCGCTGACAACTGGGCACTCCCTGCGGGCACTTCAATGCGAGTCGGCGACTTGGGCGGGCGCGGCATCATGGCAACGCCGACAACAGTAGACACGAGGACGACAGTGCCGATATTAGCGAGGATGACGCCGACGACGGCAAGGCTAGTGACGGGCGCCCCCCCGTCGGCGATAAGCGTCTCTAAAAGATTTCGACGTGCGCGCGCGACCGACGGGCGCGAGAGTTGCCCGCGCGGCACCGCTTGACACGGATCGCGCCCCCCCCTCTCGGCCCGCGCGCGAAGGTGTTCAAAGGGCGTCGCAATTCGCGGCGAGAGGCCCGTTTGGCCGAATGGCATGAACGCGTATAAAGGTTGTGGTTGTCTTAAGAATTAAGAGAAGGGCTGGCCCAGGCGCTAGGACAGCTGGCGCTGCAAACCATGCGTTGCAATATGATTCGGGGCGCTTGCATTTGAAATCTTTGCGACGACTAGACTTGCAGAAGGATTTCGGCGCGCGTTTCGCAGGGGGGCGACCGCGCGCCGGCACGTCATGAACGCGTCGGGGGGGCGGGGGGAAAGGCGCACATACTTCCCCCCCTGGGAATCCGCAACAACGCGAGCTCTGGTTTTGCATATGTTCTTGGACCAACGTTTGGAAAGTCCGCGTTGCGAAACCACGCGTTGTTCACCTGCTCTCGGGGCGCTCGCATTTTTTGTTTTTCTTCTTTTTTCTGGGCCCTTTCGAATTCAAGATTTTGGCGGGATTTCGGCGTGCGCGCGCGTGGACGCCCTGGAAACTGATGGCGCGCGATAAGCGAGCGCGCGCATAGCGCGCGCTAGCAGAGGATGGCAGGGGGCGACGCGGGCTTGCCCGGGATGGCGCGACTCCACGTTTAGGGTGGGCCATGAGGCAGAATCACGCACAGAAACTTGTCAAGCGCGAAAGGGCCCGTTAAGTCCGGGGCGGGGGGCGCAAAGTATAGCTCTCCGTAAAAGAGAATCGATGTCCTTGTGCGACGCGCGCGCGCGCGTCCTGGCCCAATATATGCAGCGTAATCTTCGCGACGCAATCTATTGGTGTAAGCTTTGTTATGGTAGCCGGTTCGGCATGAGTTCGACGCGCGCTGCTGGGCGTTTCGAGCTCGTTCGCAGCCTAAGGCATCCATTATTCGAGCAGTTCTCCACCTGGGGCCCCCTGCAGACGGGCAGCCGGTCATGGGCCGGCCCTTTTTGCGACCGCGTCCGCAGTGGAGGCGCGATTGCGGGCCTGCGAGGGCATTCAATTTTCGCCCGTCGCGGCGCTGTCACGGCGCTGCCCCGCGGCGGCGAAGATCTTCGAGATTTGTTTTATAATTTTGTTTTCTCCTTTCTTTCTTCTTCCCCAGGGCCCCGCCGCCCGACATGGGCGCGCAGCGCGCGTGGGCTAAACGCGAACTGGGCTACAAGAGTCGCGCGCGCGGGTTCCGCGCTGCTCCCGCGGGGCGCCCTCCAGCCCAAGGCCCCCCCCCGGGGCGTTCGGGGCCCTCGGCGCGACCCACTGCAGCAGAAGATCAAAGAGCTACAGAAAAAGATTGACAAGTTGTTTGCTTCGCCTGGTCAACGCGGCCAGTTTGACGCCGCCCCCGTCGATCTCATCGCGCGACGGAGACATGGGCAAGGAAGAATTGGCGGGCTACGTGACACCGTCAAGCAGCTGGCGACGTCTGTGGCCAACGGCAAGAAGCTGGGTGACGCCGGCAAAGAAGCCGTCGACCGTCTGCAACGCAGCCTGGCGGACGCGCGCATGGCACCGGCGGAGGAGAAA